GTCAGTACTGGCTCGGTGGTGATGGCATGACACACTTTCGCACTTCCACCGGCACACTGTCGACAGTGCGTTTCATTTCAGCTTGGCCACTTTAAAAAAAAACCAAGTCGGAATACGCCTTTCAAAACGACGCACATAATTACCATTTATAAAGGCAGTGCCAAGTCAGCAGCGAAGAAACTTCTTTATTCAGCTTTACCGTTTATATCATTTAGTTGTGATCGTACAACAGCCTTAATCTTACGGCGATAACAGTTAAATGGTGAAGCGTGCTTGGTCCAGCGGTTTTTGACCTCTTGCACTTCATCAGATTGCTAGGTGTCGTAGAAAATTTCTTTTCTGAGTTTATGCGGCATTAGTAAAACATTCAGTAGGCATAAGTATAATGGGTGGCACTTCCCTTTCGGTTTAGGGTCACAATGTCAACAACATATAGATCTTCGGCGGTGTGTCTAGAGTTGCATAAACCGGTATGATACAAACTCTGAGCTTCCTCTTTGTGTGTTCAGAGGCATAATACTGTACCGCACTCAACCCAAAAGTTTTGCATCGACGCGGTGAACCGTCAACTACAGCCAGTTATACTAATATTAAAAAATACCGCGAAATCCGCTTTACACCATGGCTTTCTGTGATGCTGGATATCTACTGCAAGCCTTCATAACATTAAGGGAGAGACACACCTTCACAGCTGACATTGCTCGCATCCGAAGAAAGCAACATTTTTGCTGATGAAATCACGAAAGCCTAAATGTGATGTTTAGTCGGTCCAGGTCCTATTCAACGCTGACGACAAATAACGGCTATCATTGAATGGCTCAACGCTTCTTAACAAACATCATGCCCGAGAACCTGGCACCCACTAATTCAATCAATTATGATCTGCCTCAGAAGGTGTGCTCCTCTCGAAACCATGCATGAATATGGCATAACAAACCATACGTTCGAACGGAAGATCCGAAGCCTGCCGAAAGGTTGACAGATCGAACAGCCCAATCAGAAAGCATCTTGCGACCGAATGTCCAGTCGGCAGATTAACAAACCGCATGTCTGAAGCGCCCCAGGTCAACAGTAGTTGCCATCAAATGGTCTTTTGAATTAAGCCCTTGGTTTATAAGTTGCTACAGCGAATCATGCTACGAGGCGAAGCAATTTTTTTTCTTAGTCAGGTATGTCGTAGTCGTGTACGGATATGCATCGATTTGACGTTTTTCTCTAGGCAAGGCAAAATACTCCAAATAGTGAAACAAACTTGAGCTATGTAGATCATCTGCAAAACAAGGTATCAATTGAATAAACCATCGCGATGAATTCCACGGAAATCTATCAGGGCGTTGGGGGTAAACTACTGGGAAAATTAGCTGTAACAACTTTTTAGCAAAATCTGACGAGAGCAATGTGATATAACTAATATAGGATAGCCGCTAAGGTAACTAGCTGCCAAATCCAAAACAGCCGTTGAAAGTCCAACGCGAAATTGAATAATGCAAACTTGTAAAGCTCCGCTGTTGCTCTGAACCATTCGCCTATCCGCAATTTCTGAATACTTTACAGTTCAGTTAACGGTTGAACTTATGATGTAATGATTAGCATCACAGGAGGGAAAAGGAAAAGAAAGCATTTGGTATTACATGATATCATAATAACAAAAACAAGTATAATCATAATTTCGACTAGTCATAAACAATGAAATAAAAAAGAAGTAAATAAAAATACTGAACAAATAACACAACGAAAGGCGTACAACAGCGCTGAAGCAAGAAAACATAATGACGTTATATTGGGCCGTCAGAGAGCTGTTTAATAGCCTGAGAATCCCTAAGAATGCGCGCGGAGGACGGTATGAAAAACGAAGAAATTTTTTTATGCTTAGATAGCGGTTTCCATAACACTTCCATGACTGAGAGCAATTTGTCGCTCCCTCCATTTCATGAAGCTTATGGCGTTATACTGATTTCATTTTCTGTACAATGAGTCAGGAGTTTCTTCTCGTTTCAAATGCAGAATCTACTGCTATGTATCAAACACGGCATGAGGTCTCTATTTCTTTCTCACAGAGTGGCCTTCATTTATCTATCTTGGAAAAACGAAATATCAGTGATCCGACTGGGGTTCAAACTTAGAGATCTCTGAGATTCCGAGTCGACTTTCTACAGACTGAACAATCCCCCGCCTATTATATAAATAACAACGAAAGAGTTCAGTCCTTGCAGAGATGCTGAGAAACTGGAATCACATGAACGTACTGTGGTAAAGGTATTTTGAAATGCGGATGTATATACTGTGTGATGTGCTTACCGGAATGATGTTTCCCATGCATACGAATGCGATTCCAGGGTGCTTAATGACAAGCCCCTCAGCTTTGATACAAATCTGAGGAACAGTCGTAGCACCTCAAGCCCATCCGGAAAAACAGTAGCGATAATGTGTACGTAGATGGAATGCATGAGAGAGTAAAGTTGTTAACTGCTTTTTTCATGGAATGTAGGTCCGCCTTTGCATAAAATGAAGGGCTGTGCCTAACTAATGTGTTAAACTGGGCCAACCGCCATTTCTTAGTTACCAGTTCCACTGAAGATAGCCCGTAAGATAAAATAACTGTATTTTATACGATCTGACCACGGAACACTTTACTTTCATAATGCATTTAAGGTAGCGCTGTTGTACGCTGTTTAATCATCAGTCTAGATCTACCGTTTGAACAGTTATGCAAACTGTATTTTATAGCATAACTTCAACGACTTTAAAACGACTAAGTACGGACGGGTTTCATGAAAAGGGACATATTTTCAAAATATTGGGCAGGCAATCAAAACACTGGATGAGAAGGCAATTTATCTGATCAGCTCAAATTGCCTAGCACAGTTTCTGAAAATGATGGAACCAAGCTTTCATTCCACCATATATCATAAATCTTACCTTCTGTTATGCTGACTTTGGTGCAGCATATTTTCTGATTCGAAATTGCACCGTTTGCGGAATCTTTCTCACCCAAATCGTTGTCCGCAAAAGCAATAAATTATCGCCACTCTGCCTTACGAATCCGAATCTCACGCCGTTACGAGAACTATTTTTCATCGTACACTTGGTAGTTGCATTCTTCATCAGAAGTACTATACTGCCAGATGCTGTGCCAGTTATTTCGTGTGATGTGTGCTCATCCACCGCAAACCGCTGTATCCATCGTTACAGCACATATTATTCATTGATATATTTGTGGTAATGTTCGTAGTTGTTGCATTTAGCTATGCTTTGCCATGTTTTCTAATAGTTTTCAGGCGTTTCTCCAGCTGTCGCTTACTTACCCAGGCTCGGCAGGTACTGCATAATGTTGCCATGTTTATCGAGAGTTTTGTGTTTGTTTGACAGTAAGCGCATTGTTCTACTCTATTCCTTATTTATCGTTAGCAATTTGCAGGCAGTTTTGTTGTCTAGTTCTATGTTTCTAGTTTCGATTATCATATTTTGAGTATCCGATGCTTGTAAATATACAGATTAAAATTTCTGCGTTGATGTAATTGCGTTATCAGTTTTGAAATAAAGCTGATAGCTAATTAAGTAGGTATTCCTTCTTGCTTATTTTATTTCAAATGTATTTTGAATAAAGCTCTATAAAGTTCTTTTGTATTGTTGTCGCAGTTTTTACATTCATAAACATCCATCACTAGTACATACAGTTCCGCGGTACTTGAACTTCTCCACCTGCCCCACTGCCTCTCCGTTAATCTGAGGACAGCAACAGAGAGAAGAACGAGAAAGAACTAGGCTTCTCGTTTTAGAAGCGTTCACATTGGGCTGCGAACCTTTCTAACTAGCACTGGAGATCAGTTTCAGAAGATGCTAATAAAACAAGGTCGTCTGCAAACAGCAACCTCCTCGACTTCACATCTCCTATACCGATACCCCCATCGCCTTGGCAGCTCCTGAGTATTCTATCCATGTACAACACAAACAGGATAGGGGGCAGGACGCAGCCTTGGCGGAGACCAGTGCGAACGTTGAATGGGTTCGATTTAACGCTATTTACTCTGACACAGCACCTGCTATCAGAATACAGTGATTGGATGGCTCTTAGCAACTTGCCATCGATCACGTATGCACGAAGGCATGTCCACAGACTGTTGCATGGGATCCGGTCATACGCTTTCTCTAGATCCAAAAAACACATGTACACCGGCTGGGCGTACAACAACAATTTCTCAACATTCTGGCGCAGGGCAAATATATGGTCAGAGGTACTTCGACCGGGCTGGAAGCCACACTGCTCTTCTTAGATCTTGAGCTCAACTATTTCACGGCATCTCCTTCCTAACACCTTAGCGTAGACTTTACCTTGGAGGCTCAATAACGTTATGCCCCTATAATTGGAGCACTCCTTGTGGTCTCCCTTCTTGAATAACATTCATAAATATATAAAATAAAAATGTGCATATAAAAGCATTCTTAATTCATGAAATAATTTAAAACCTAAATTCAAATCGGCACCTCAATTACGCTGAAACTTTTTTTGTAGAATTAATTCAAACGAGACACAAAATTCGTATATTTCCTTGTTTTTGTCACCGCAATAACTTTGCAACCGGCACTACAGCTGTTCCAAACCACTGATAATAGACAACAATGTGAAGCTGACAATTAATGCGTTAGAATAATTGACGTGACAGTGACAGAGCTACAGAAGCACATGAAACGGTTAATCAGAAATCATGGAACCGTCTTTGCGACAATACGAGAATCTCAACATCAGAATCGTATAGCTAAGCATGAGCTGAAAAGCTCAGTTCAGCTGTTTTACAAGAAAGATTTTGTCCGAACATCTACAGTAACGTTCGACGGATTATCGCGTTAACATGCCTGAAAAATTGTCTTAGTATAATTCATGACAGACAGAACATAAGTACGTGGTCGTATTATTTGTGAAGCAAGCGTTAACTTCAGAGCTGAGCCAACACAACAGCTGCAAATATCACCCCCGGAAACTGTTGGCGAAAATGCTTCAGTTGTTTCACGGTCCGTAAAGTAAGAATTATGAAAGCTGTGCATGTTAAACTATAGAGGGTAATAATCGGCATGCCGCCTGATTTGTCCATAAAATTGCACACCGACTTCTGACAAGAAACTGAACTCTCGACATCACGAAAAGCGACGATTCAGGTCAAATCTTCTACGCTCCATGGCAGATGAACCTAGAAACAGTTGAAAATTTCTGTAACTCGCTGTGCCCAATTTACTCTACCTTCGATTAGGGTCTTGCAATTTTTAATTCAAATTCATACACACTGAATTGCCCTGCATAGTACACCGAATGTAGCTAAATACATATTCAGGCAAATTCTTGCCCGCCAACACTTTCTTGTTTACATATCTTGCAAAGAGACCGAATGTCCAGTTCGATAAGACGTATGAATTAAAAAACATCACTTGTTGTATTCGGTATAATGATTTTTGTGCCAAAGTTGGCAAAAGATGAGCCCATTTTGAAAAACATTGATCCCAAAAGTTATTTCAGGGTTATTTGACGTCATTAGACTTCTTAACCTATATAGCCATCACATTAACGCTGCCGAAAAGTTTCAGTGGCTGCCCATGAAGCCAGAAGTATATCAAGTTAAACAAAACCTGCTTCAGAATTGCTGCAAGACACATTTCCAAGTGAATGTTATCCTTAAAAGCATTGGAACGAGGGATGTTACCGGACACGCCCGATAGAAGCACTTTAAAAATTTGAATGAAGCCGAACAACTGCCAACAAAGAGCTTAGCCGATCCTTCATTTTGTCCCAACCTGCAACAGATTAGTAATATTTATCAGCGCCTGCGATGAGCTGAGTTGGGTGACAGATTCAAAAGGAAAATGTGGGGGAGGTAAATATTTTATTTTCCACATACTATAATTTGGACGCTTTTTCTAAAGTGTAAAACAGCAGAAGCTTATCTTGGCTAGTAAAGGTTACCAATTGCAGAACAATAAGAAACTATTTACAGTTGCATGAATTAAATACATCAATTCTAACACAAACTGTGTTGGTTTTGTTGGAGACATTGAGTCTCTCATGTGACGTGTTCAAGAAAATGAGAAAATGAGCGAAGTGGCGTTCATTGGGCATTGGTCGGAGAGAAATAGCAAAATATGGCATAAAATATTAGCTGATGTATTCAGTCATGGTTCGTAAGAGGAATTTACAGACCACTACAAATCTCCAAGCGATACACTATCAGAAATACATTCTGTCCAGTTCCTTCTTTTTCTCTATCATACATGTAGTGAGTGTTTCTAGATGTAGCCAAATGTTAGTCTCCAACTCTTTCATTCCAATTGCTGCAAGCCATGTGAAAATGGCTTGAAAACAGTGTACTGCATAAGATTCAAGCACTAGATTGAATTGCTACGTGCATTTCAGCAGGTTGTGTATTGCAGAACGATCGAAGAAGTCAACCGGACCTTCACGGAAGTAGTATTAATGCCTACTAATTTTAATAGAGCTCTTTACTTAAGAGAGACAGCGGCCGTAATTTTCAGAGGCTGTATCTGCAACTGTTTACTGCGAACGTCGCGAAGAATGGTGTACGGTCTGTTTAACCCCTAAGATTCGAGCAACTTTACATACAAATAACTTTTGTGAAGTTATGAGAAGAATCTTTAAGGTAGAAATTCAAACGCAGACAAGCAAATGAACGTTGATTGCATTTGTTTTTCAGGATGAAGTGCTACAAAACGGAAGGCCTAAAACATGATCAAACTGTTGAAACTCATCTGCGAGCGGCTAAAGCCATATTTTCAGCGACGGCTCCCACAGCTCGCTGTGAATCCCATTTTGGCCGTCCTACAAACCTGGAACATGCCAAAGAAGAGCATTGACTATATCACCCGGTAAGTCAAAGTCACCAGACTGGTGCATATTTATTCGTCGTTCCTAGCAGCGTTGAAGCAAGCACCCAAAAAAACGAAATATGGTTGCTGGTGTATGTCAATGTCTATTCGGTATGTATGGCAAAGCATGCAAGCGTCAGTATACTATATACTTATATTTTAGGATGCGCAGTGCTGCAATACAACTAGTCAACAGTCCATTAGGAAAAGAGCAATTGGCAACAAGAGAAGCCGAATCGCCAGAAGATAAATTTTATTTGCAATGGCGACTCCAACGAAATGCTAGGAATACATTGATAGGCAAATTTCAGAACATCATTCTTTTATCCACTCCTAATTTTAGCAGCTCACCGGTAAAGCGCAGTTTTTTGATTAAAGGGATCCAAGCAAAGCGGTTCTCGGATCCACGTACAACCACAGCCATATCGAGCCTTAGGAGAAGGACAAGGAACAAACCCTGCAATAGTCGCAAGGCCACAGTCGCGATGTTTGCACTGTTGCAATAAACTTTCAGTGTAAGTCGTATCTGAGAGTGTGAACCTGAGAAAGCGAAATAAGCTCTAAGCATGCGAGACCAGATTCTTTTCCATCTGTGTTCAGTAAGGTTACAACCAGCAATCTTGCCGCTCAGATGTTGACATTAATTTGTCAGAACTACAACCAAATGAAGGCTTCTTAAATTTTGCATAAAAATATGTGTAGACGACATCAATTACACAAAGCGATGGCATGAATAAAACTGAAGCATCTAAACGCAAATTTTAGCAGCAATATTTACAAATGACAAGTGCAAAAGTCATGATAATTTTATGCACAAGCCTGAAGGAGAGAAACGCCCAGCTCAAGCGTGCTTACGAAAGAAGCAATGAAAAGCGAAAGACCGTAGAGGACAGTACGGACAGCAAACAACAGGTACGATAGGATATACCAACGTTGAAAAGCAGCGCGTTCCGAAAATAAACGGTGTGAAAGGAATGCTTGCAAACAGTAACAGAAAATGAATATTATGAGAAGAAATTAAGAATGGGAAGTTATTGGAAGAACGTACAAAAAGAGCGTAGAAAAGAACAGCAAAATATCACAGCGTCGTAACAAAAGTGTACTAATGGATTTAACTCGAAACATGACAGAATGTATGGCAAGAAGCATAATTTAAAGATGAGAGCGAACTGCTTACAACTGATATTAACATCGTCATTTGAGGTATCACGGTAAAAGACAGAGTACCCAGATTAATGATGTTCCTGACGATTTGGCTTCTCAGAATCATTGCAATTTACAACAGAGTCGGGAAATTCTTGACGACACATGTAAACATGCAGCAAAGGAAAAATTATGGCAAGAAAGACAGATCAAGACCAAACGCAGCAAATAGCGCAACAACTGTAAGAAAAGAGATCACTTTCGGCGAAAAACAGAAGACGCAAAAGCAACGATAGCAACAGCCGTACGTAACCAAAAAGTGGGGATAAAAAAACAAACAGCGTGAGAACAGCCAAGATAAGGGC